TGGAACCAATCTCAAAGCAGTATGGAGATTCCTTAGAAAACTTGGAATAGAACCACCATTTGACCCAAGTATTCCACTCCTGGATCTATATGCAGAGGATTTAAAATCAGCCTACTTTAGTGACTCAGCCACATCAATGTTTATAGCAGCTCAATTCACAATAGCTATACTTTGGTACCAACCTAAATGCCCTTCAATAGATTAATGGATAAAGAAACTGTGATATATATATGTCAGAATATTACTCAGCATTAAAAGAGAATGAAATTATGGCCTTTGCATGTAAATGGATGGAGTTGGAGAGTATCATGCTAAGCAACGTAAGCCAATCCCTCAAAACCAAAGCCTGAATGTTCTTTATGATAAGTGGATGCTGATCCATAATAGAGGGGGGTGCATGGGAACAATGGAGGAAATATGATAGGGTGAAGAGGAGTGAGGTGGGAGAGGTGATATGGGGAAAAGAAAGAAGGTGGAATGCAATGGACATCATGACCCTAGGGACATGTATGACGGCACATATGGTGCAAAGCTACATCATGTACAACCAGAAGAAGAAGAAATTGTGCTACATTTGTGTAGAATGAATCAAAATGCATTCTGATATCATATATACATAATTAGAATAACTAAATTTAATTACAAATATAGACACACACTTGAGCTGTCTCCTAAGTTCTGGGGATGCCGGGGACACTCACATGATTTTTTTTCTCCTCCAGAGCTGCTGGGAAGGCGTGTATGAAAGTTAAGCTATCACTTGTGAAAACTGCAGACACATAGTCTCCCCACGGCACCTCATCACATCCGCAAATACCAGGAGACTGACCGCAAGAGGGTCCTGGACTTGTTCTCCCAAGGAATGGTCGAGCATGTCCCTGCCGCCTTCTGCCATGGACTGAAGTTACCACAAACACTCCTGGTATTACTTGGGGTGCCCATTACCCTACTCCTGGTCTCTGGCTCTTGGCTCCTGGCTCTTGTATCCAATGTCACCCTCCTTGTTATCCTATGGTTGCTGGCCAGAGAGCTTTGGAGGCAGTATGTGGTCATGTGTTTGCAGACAGATCTTGTTGACATCACCAAATCCTGAGTGCCCATGGTTCCTGCTTCTGGGTGGCTGAATCTGGGGGCCAGGTGGCAGGCATAGTGGGTGCTCTGCCAGTGGAGGAYGCCCCCCCAGGGAGGAAGCAACTGCAGCTGTTTCACCTCTCTGTGTCCTTGGAGCACCGAGGTGAAGGACTAGGGAAAGCCCTGGTCATGACTGTCCTC